GGAAGAAACCTCTTTGGGTGGCCTGTATAATAAATTGTGTTTTATTTGGCAATGAGGTGTGATGGGCTATGCTTCAGGATCAATCACAAGGCTTGGTAAAAGGTTCCTCCCTCCCTGGGTCACCAGGTGAGTCTCATTAGAAAGAGGAAGGAGGTTCCTTCCTAGAGGGTATCTGCCCCACCTGAGGGACAGCTGGAAAGCATAATCCTTCATCCCTTATAGTTGGAGAGTTCTTTGTAGTTACTGGATGCTTTGTGGTTTACAGACCATTTCCCTACTCTTTTAATAACAATACCCCACCCCACCCATGAGGGTGTCTGACAAGTGATTATTACCTCCATTTTATAAATAAAAAAACTGAAACTGAAAAACAGCTTTGGCTAAGTTCATATAACTAGAAAGTCAAGTCAATACACATTTATTAAGTGTTTACTGTGTGCCAGGCACTGGGCCAATCCTCAGGGAGTCAAAGAAAGACAAAAACAGTCCCTACACAAGAGGAGAATATATTTTGATAGGGGAGATAACATCTAAATAACTAGGTACATATGAGATAATACGGACTGGATGGAAGGCAATCTCAGAACTAGTAGCTGGAGGGGAACCGTAAAGGCTGCCTGTAGAAGATGGGATTCTTAAAGGAAGCCAATGGAAAACTGAAGTCCAGAGGTAGGACTAAGGAGGGAGAGAGAGGCTTCTGGCCCAGGAAGGGGTCGGGGCAGAAAATGCAAAGGCATGGAGAGGAAGATGGAGGGTGGTGCATGAGGAACAGCAAACAGGCCAGCATCGCTGAATCATAGAATGTGTAGAGTCAACAACAACAAGCATTTTTATAAAGTGCTTACTATGTGCCAGGCACTGTGCGAAGCACTAGAGATACAAAGAAAAGCATGAAACAATCCCTGCTCTCAAGGAGCTCAGAGTCTAACGGGGTACAAACAAACAATATATACAGGATAAATTAGAGATAATCTCAAAGGGAAAGCACTAATAATAATAGCTGGCACGTACATAGCACCTACTATGTTCCAGGCACTGTGCTAAGCACTTTACAAATATTATTTCATTCACTCTTCACAACAACTCTGGGAAATAGATGCTATTATAATCCTCATTTTACAGATGAGGAAACTGAGGTCAACAGTGGTTAAGTGCCTTGCCCAGGATCACATAGCTAATAAGTATCTGATTTGAACTCAGGTCTTCCTGACTCTATCTATCACTTAGCCACCTAGCTACAATGCACTAACATTAAAGGGGACTGCAGAAAATGGGATTTTAGCTGAGACCCTGAAGGAAGCTAGAGAAGCCAGGAGAAAGAGATCAGGAGGGAGAGACTAGAAGGCATGGGGGTCAGCCAGTGACAAAGCACAGATGAACGGTAGAAAAGTATAAAAAGATTAGAAAGAATTGGGTGAGGGAAGGGATAAGCATTTCTATAGCACCTACTGTGAGCCTGCAAGAAGGGGGTCAGTGAAAAAGAGCTTTAAATATCAAAGACTATGTATTTGATCTTGGAGGTTAGTTAATAGGGAGCCAGTGATGGTTGGTGAATAGGAGTGTGACGTGGTTAGATCTGTGCTTTTGGAAAATCACTTTAGTATATGTGGGGAGGAGGAGTAGTGGGGAGTGGCTCAGGGAAGATACCAATTAGAAGGCTACTGCAACAGTCCAGGCAAGAAGAGATAAGGATCTGAACTAAGGATCTGGTGGCTGTGTGAGTGAACAGAAGGGGTTGTATATCAGAGATGCCATGAAGGTAAAAACAACAAGACTTGGCAACATATTCTATGAGTGAGAGTGAGGATGCAAGGGTAACTCTGGGGTTGCAAGTCTGGGTGACTGGGAGGTTGATGGTACCCTCAACATTAATAGGACTTGTACCTGGCCTTTTGCTACCTAGTCCAATCCAATCCAATAAACATTTATTAAGTGCCTACTGTGTGCTAGGCATTGTTCTAAATGCTGGGAATACAATTGATAAAAAGATAGTGCCTGCTCTTAATGAGCGTACAGTCTAAAAGAAGATACACAAAAGGTGGCAGGAAAGGGGGTGGGGGGAATGGGCCCCAGGGGTTCTTATTTGTGGAGTTGAAACCAGACAAAGCAGCAGAGGCAGAGTAAAGTGATCTGAGCATCCAGTTTCTGCTCTGTATAAAGGAAGACCAGCAGCTAGGTGGTGCAGTGGATAGAATGCTGGGCCTGGAGTCAGGAAGACTCTTCTTCATGAGTTCAAATGTGTCTTGGGACACTGGCTGTGTGACCCTGGGCAAGTCACTTAACCCTGTTTGCCTCAGTTTCCTCAACTGTAAAATGAGCTGGAGATGGAAATGGCAAACCATTCCAACAACTTTGCCAAGAAAACCCCAAATGGGGACAAGGAGAGTCAGACATGGGATTGAAAAAAAAAATCAGAAGCAAAAAATAATTAACAACAAAGTAAAGGAAGACATTAGGAGGAGTTTGGCACTCCACCCTCCAGCCCTCCAATCAGAAAGCAAGGTGAGAGAAGTGGTGTCATTCAAGGCTGGAGTGGGCTTCTGGGTGATGAGGTCAGATGGGATGAGCATAGCCTGGAGGGGTCATCTTGTTCTATGGAGCTGAAAACAGGCAAGGCCCCAGGTCAGCAGGTCTAGATCTGGGATTTGCTGAATGTAGTTCCCGGGGGGAATCACTTGTCAATATCAAAAATGTTGCAGTTGGGGTTAGACTAAAAACCTTTTGAAATTTTTCTGGTTCTAAGAATCTAGGATTCTAATCCTGACTCAGGAGCTACAGGAAACAAGTCTACCACTTCTTTTCTATCGAAGACGATGATTATGCTGCCTCCCAAGTCTTCTCCAGAATGAATACCACCCCCTCCAGTTTCCCCATATCCTAGTCATCTTTCTCTAGCTGCCCCCAGCAGCCGAAGTTCACCAAAGTCCCTCCTATAATGGGAGGCCCTCTACCAGACGTGGGCTTCCCAAGTTCCCTCCAAGAGCATCCAAAAGGATTTGAGTTAGGGATGGAGGTATTTCTCTAGTAGCCTCAGGGACTTCCCCTCCCCCCTCTCCATCCCCCAGCAGAGACCCCAGTGCCTGCTCTTTCTTGCTCCATGACGCCTCAGCACGGGGGTGGTGAGGTGGCAGGCAGGACCATCTGCCTCTGTCGCCTTCCCTCCCTGGGCTTCTGCCATGGCGATGAAAAGCTGTCTTTCCCTGTGTTTCCACCTACTCCCTGGCCCGGGTAATGCTTTGATAAATGTTCTCAAATCAGCAGCTCCTCCACCTCCAGATGATGGTGCTATAAAAGCAATCACTATTGGAGGAAGGGCTGCTCCGAGAGAGAGGGGCCAGGCTCGGAGCAATGCTTAGCATTAATTCCACAACCAAGGAGCAGAGAGATTTCAGGCAGGAGATAGAGAAAAACATTTTTTTCCCCTCCTCATCTTCTTTTTTCCTTTCTGTTTCCCTGGAACCCAATTCTTGCTTGTCCACCATGAGATGGGAGGAAATGAGGGGGAGGATTGGGAAGGGATGTTGCATTCTTCCTAGCAGGGGGCTCTCCCCTTATTTACCTGGTTAATTCCAAGGCAGGGAGGAATCTTTTACTTCTATGGCAGGTTTCAAGCCTAGTTCTTTGCATTCCCAGGTCTGGTAGTCAGCCACCTGCCACAGGGAGAGCTCCTGTGGCCAGAGAACCAGGAGCTCTCCAGACACTCCCTTACCACCAATCCACTTCTTAGCCCCATCCTATCTATGGGTTGCAAGCATCTTTTCTCTGGATCTGGATTGTAGGTTGTACATGATGCTGACTTGAGTTCCTCACCTCCTTTTACGTCTTCCTGCCTTTTATGTTCTCCTTTCCCTTTCTCTGCCTCTTTTCTGCCTGGATCAGATGCCTGGAATGTTCCATTGCATTCCATAAAGGTGATGCCTGGTTCCCAGGCCAGAGAAATTCTAGAATGTAACATCAGATGGTTCTAGGTTTGGAACTTCTTATGCCTAACCCCCACCCCCAAGTGGTTCTAGACTACAAGGCCTCAGAGATGTGGTCATAGGGTGTCTCTCTTTATAGTTTCCTCTACAAATTCATATATTTGTGTCCTGGCTTGGAGGAGTACCCTTCCCAGCTCCCTGGACCTGTGGAGATGTTTCTTTGGTGAAAAGGTATTTCCACGTCCCCTAGCCCTCAAGAAGTGAACCTTTCCCATCAATGCTTGCCCCTGTTGGATTAAGTATAGTTGCTTTAGAAAAGTTGAATGCTGGGGCTGGAAGGGACATTAAAAACAAAAATATCTGAGCTGGAGGATCCTGCTGGAGCGATCTCAGAGCCCATCTAGTCCAATCCCTGCATTTTAGAAAGGAAGAAACCAAGGCCCAGGGAGGGGCAGTGACTTGTCTAAGGTCATAGTAGGAGTCTAAGATTAGAATTTGGGTCTCTCGAATCCCGTCACTCTGGGCTGCCCCATTTGGAGAGAACAAGAACAGAGTGTTGGAAAGAAACCAGATTATGCTATTCCTCCCTTACCCCCCGCCCCAGATTCCCTCAAATACGATGTTCGTGGGCCTATCCCTTCCGCTGCCCCCTAACCCGCAGCTCTGAGTGGTGAGGGGCTTGGAGGGTTAGGTGTGTGTGGCCGGGGCGGGGCATTGGAGGTGGCCTGATGCCTGGCTAGACGGGGACGGAAGCATCTCTCTGTCCTTGATGGGGGGGGGGGCGGGGGTTGCGTAGCGCCATCCCTGTAGCCTCCCTGACCTCCCCTGCGTTGAGTCCCTCCATCCTCCCTCATGCTCTTCCCCTCCCTCCCCTCCTTCCCTTCCTTCCTCCTTCTCCCCAGGCGGGGGCACTGGGCGCCCGAGGCTGCAGCGCCGGTCTCGGGCCAGCAGGTGTCGCTAAGGAGCGCTTCTTTTGTGGTCCTGATGCTGCCGCTGGCCTGAGAGCGAGAGCTTCCTCTCCAGCTGAGAGCTTTTCTCCTCCGTTCATTTGCTCTTATCCAACCTGTGTCGGTCTCGGGCATGGCCAGATTGACGGAGAGCGAGGCGAGGCGGCAGCAGCAGCAGCAACTCCTGCAGTCCAGAGCCTCCCCCATGAGCAGCGGCCCCGAGCCCCCCGTCCAGCCGGACAGCATGAAGGACCTGGATGCCATAAAGCTCTTCGTTGGCCAGATCCCCCGCAACCTGGAGGAGAAGGACCTCAAGCCCCTTTTCGAGCAATTCGGCAAGATCTACGAGCTGACGGTGCTCAAAGACCGCTACACCGGCATGCACAAAGGTGCGCCCCCGCCCCGCCCCTCCCCTCTGCTCTCCACCCCGCCCTGGGGCCAGCCCGCCCGCCGCCTGCCCGCTGCCTAGCCGCCGCTTGCCCCCACGCCTTCCTGCCCCCTCCTCTCCTCCTCGGTGCTACCCCTCTTCTAGCATCCTAGCGCCCTCCTGCTCTCGCTCATCCCTCCCCTTCCCCACTCCACCTTCTGGCATCATTATCATCATCATCATCATCATCATTATCATCATCATCATCATCATCATCATCATCATCATCATCATCATCATCTCTCCTTCCTTTCCTTTTCCTTATCCCTTTCTTCTTCCTCTTTCCTCTATCCTCCATCAGTCTCCCTTCTTTTCTTTTCACTCCTATCCTCCTACTACCTTCCATCCTCCCCCTCCATCCTTTGCTTCTTCCTCAGCACCATCTCTCTGTCTCTCTGTCTCTCTGTCTCTCTCTCTCTCTCTCTCTCTCTCTCTCTCTC